ATGTCGGCGGGCCATTGTGCAGGTAGCCAATGAGCGTAGATTACCAAACGCTGGAAGAGGCTTCAACTGCAGCCAAAATGCCTGCATCATGAACTCACGGATGGGGCTGCGATTACCAAGCGTCCTTCCGCTGAGAAAACAAGGATGCAAGACCGCGTGACGCCGTCAACGACGGATTGCCAATGATGTCCATAGGAAGCAGCTCGGCAAGGATGTAAGGGCCCTTTTGGACGGACGCACAGCGTTCATTCCAACGGCTGCCATTACCATTATCTGTCGAGCAAAAAACTTTCTCGCCTGTCCTTCCTTCCTCCCTTCCTGCCCTCCTCCATCCTCCTGTTCCTCCAGGCGGTCCAAGAAGCCTCCAGGACGCCCCAAGAGGCCTCCCAAGAGGGCCCCAGTTTTGCCCATCTCTGGATGAGGCATTTGGGGTGGGGAAAACGCAACACTTCCAGCCTACCGAGCGCGCCGAGAAAATGTTGCGGGGAAATTCAAGACGGCCTCTAGTTCTGGCTGAGTGGGGGGCTAGCTCGAATAGAGAAAGAGAACTTGAGGACCTGGTAAAACACGCGACACCCCAAAATCCGCCCTCCTGACCCTCCTCATCCTCCTCGCCCCCCCCCCCCACCTTGTCCCTCTTCCCTCCCCCTGCATGCCACAAGTTTCTTCTCAGAGGTCCCATCCTCCTCATCCTCACCATCCTCCTCCTCCTCCTCCTCCACCCCCTCCTCCTCGCCATCCTCTTCCTCCGCTTCCGCGTCTTTTCTTACAAGAAGTCTTCCTCCTCCTCCATCCGCCGCCCCCCCACCCGCTGCTCACCCTCCATATCCTCCTCTTGCAGGGCGGCCAGGTTCGCAACGGAAATGCTGACCTCGCTTGAAACATCCTCGCAAATTACAACTAAAGCTACACTGGTGATTGTATATGGTTTGCGTTTACATGGCAACGTCTCGGCTGTGACATCCTCGCAAACTGAACCGTCTTCCAAGGCGCGGTTTTTTTTTTTTTTTTTTTTTTTTTCACCCTGTAGCTCGCCCCAGACATCTCCACAACTTGCCCCAAGAAACAGGGGGACACATCGCGTGTGCTTCTTTTTTGCTCACCGTCGGCCATTCAATGCTCGTGCTTGAAATCAAAATGCAAGCCAACCCGATATTTCTTTACAAATTTGAGCGATGCTTTGGCTTTGGAGACGCCTCGCGTGCACGAGGCCATTAAATGCCGACTGGAAAGCATGAGCCTTTCGCCAGCGTAGCACCACCCTAGGATTGGATTCTGCCACCAAGACTGCAGTATAGCATGTCCAAGGTAATGCGCCTTCACTGTGACATCAAACAGTTTTTGCGCTGGTGCCTGGGTTGCGTAGTGACGCCCCAGGGCAGAGAACAACACAAGAAATTTAAAGCCTTCGGTTCTGAACTCTGATCTGACCTCCAGTGGCCAACGGTCATCTGTTTTGCATTCGCCGAGGATGCGTTCCATTGTCGACAACGACGCCAATGCAATTTTTATCTGGGCATGCTGTGCGTTACGGGGGTCTCTGTATTTTTCCCAAATGTGGAGAAACCCTGGCGCTGCCATTTTGATATCGGCAGCTCTCCCTTTGAGCCTGGGGTATGACGAATGTGGCGCTTCTGGGTTGCAGAAAACCGAAAGTTTATCCAAACACAAATTGCAGCGAATATCGTTAGCCCCGTTGAACTCTCTGAGCTCGTTCCATATCTTGGCTAAGTTTGCGGCGGCAGTGCCGCCCAATAGCTGGAATACTAAGATGTGCAGGACCGAAGCGATGAAGTATTGATCTGTGCCGATGTGTTTAGCGTGCATGACATCTGCTTTCACTGAATATATGCTGACGCCAGGCAAAGTAAACAGCGCGTGTCGACTAAAGCCCGTTGCTCTCCATTGAGCTGGCGTGTAACAATTTCGCATCCAAATTGCATGATCCTCTCGGAATTCCGTCGTGATCATGGGCCCACGAGTGGCCGCGGGACAAAAACAACAAGGTTCGTTTGTGCTGTAACCTGGTAGAAGGAGCTCGTCTCTGAAAAATTCCAGATCACCTTTCACGTTCCAGATACAACAGAAGAATCCCCCTGCAAGCTGTTGGCCTGCCTTCGGGCACGCGGATCCGTCCCAGTTCCTGGCAGGCCAGACGCCATCCCACAAGACTCTGAATGACCAGACAAGAGCGTCCCAAAATTTACTTGATGTATCTGGCGCTAGAAGTTTTTTAAAAATTGCACCAATGAGAAAATTGAAAGATCTTGTTGTACCTGTGGCAAACACGCTGCACCAAGAATAGAACAATGCGCTTTGCTGCCAAATCTTCCCGAGGCCAATCACGGGAGCCCCATCACCATGGATTGATAAAGGAATCGCACGCGAACGCCAATTTTCCCTGTCGCGAACTGGGTGGTCGTTCAACTGGGGATTCCCCAACATGGCTGACCAAAATTGCCGAACGCGTTCCTCAGAAGGGCAAAATTTAGTTGTCCACGCTTCTGGGTAAAATTCATAAGCTGCAGCAAACAATTCATGTGGCATCATGATATACTGATCCGTGGGGGTCACAACGCCCGAAATATTTATTGGCAAGCTTACAGCAACAGGTTTCGGCAACTGCACGCCCGAAACCCTTGATAACAGCTGCCCGTGCATTCGATTCGAAGCAGAACCTTCGTTCCCCAACGTCGTCAACATGTCGTACTGCTTTAGGTCAATGTTTGTTTGTGCAAGTGCAGAATCAATATCCGCCCTGGCCAGGGAAGCTATGCGCTGAATAGTCTGAGGAGACATGTAACCCCACGCCCATTGCTCAAGCAAAAACGATGTCAACTTGGGAGCCTCCAGAGCGCCTAGACGCGCTTGTCTACGTTGGTTGACGCCAGGCATTGGAGCCAGAACGCTATGGCATGGGTGGGTGTGGAGGCATCGTGGACGCGAACCGAAGCACAGTTGGAACTTATAATCAGGAGAGAAGGTAAGGACGCAAGACCCTGGGAAGTACCAGCCCCAAGGACCCCCTGAGAGGCCAACCAGCGAAAACAGCGAGGGAGGAAACCCAGAGACAAGGACGCAAGGGTACAGTACTCGTCTTTCCTATGGATTTTGACTGTAAATCGTCATGGCTGTAAAGCACAAAGAAAATTCTCAGAATTCAGATTCTCAGAATATCTGGTAGATGTTATCAGAATTATTCTGATAATAATTCTCAGAATTTTGAATGATTCCCGTGAATCAAACATGATTATCAGAATTTGTTTAGATTATCCAAATTCTTTGGAATTCATTTGATTTCCATGAATTCATTTAACTTACAAGATTCTCATTATTTTTGGTGAATTCCGGCTATGAGGGGTGGACCAGCTGACCGGCTGACCGGCTGACCGACTGACCGGCTGACAAACTGCCTGGCTGACCGACGGACAAGCTGACCGGGTGACTGGCTGACCGGCTGACCGGTTGACCGGCTGACCAGCTGACCGGCTACTGACCGTCTGACCAGCTGACTGGTTGACCCGCTGACCGGTTGACCCGCTGACCAGCTGATTGGCTGACCAGCTGACCAACTGACCAGCTGACCGGCTGACTGGCTGACCAATTGACCGGCTGACTGGCTGACAATCTGACAGGATGACCGGTTGACCAGTTGATTGGCTGGTGACCGTCTGACCGGTTGACCAACTGACCGGTTGATCGGCTGACCGGCTGACCGGCTGACTGGCTGACCGGCTGACCAGGCGACTGGCGCAGGTATTCAACCATTCTGCCCATATGGGGCCACGAAACGTGTGAGGGGTGTGCCGACATGAGTTGGGCAGGTGCATGCGGACTGCGCCACAGGGGCCTTCGGTGGAGCTCCCTATGGGGCCTCGAAGCGTGTGAGGGGTGTGCCGACATGAGTGGGGCGGCCGCACGCGGGCTGCACCACTGGGTCCTTCGGTGGAGCTCCCTCTGGGGCTACGAAACGTGAGAGGGGTGTGTCCAGATGGGTTCGGGACCGCATGCGGGCTGCGCCACTTAGACCTTCGGTGGAGCTCCCTGGGGGGCCACGAGACGTGTGAGGGGGTATGCCGAAATGCGTGGCGGGACCGCATGCGTGCTGCGCCACTGGAGCCTTTGGTGGAGCTCCCTATGGGGCCAAGAAGCGTGTGAGGGTGAATGGGGTTGCGGGGACACATGCGGGCGGCACCATTTGGGCTTTGGTGGAGCTCCCGATGGGGCCACAAGACGTGTGGGGCCATGTGGCCTTCGGTGGGGCTTTCCACGACCCCTCGAAGCGTCTGAGAGGTGTGCCCAAATGGGTGCGGGACCGCCTGCGGGCGGCACAATTTCGGCCTCGGGTGGAGCTCTCTATGATTATGGGGCAACGACTGGCCATCGCTTGGATGTCCATTCCCTGTGTTTTTTGTTCGGTTTCGTGCGTGGTTTTTTCGCCAAATGATCAAGGATGCTCCTCGATGGTACTCGCCGGAGGAAAAATGCACACGTCCGAGCGATGCCAATACGAAGCGTGTGAGGGGTGTGCCGAAAAGCGTGGCGGGGGGGTCGCACGCAGGCGGCACAACTTGGGCCTTGGGCCAGGGTGGAGCTCCCTTTGAGGCCACGAAGCGTGCGAGGGGTGTGCCGACATGGGTGGCGGGGACGCATGCGGGCGGCACCATTTGGGCCTCGGGCGGAGCTCCCTGCGGGGCCACAACGCGTGTGAGGGGTGTGCCGACATGGGTGCCTTGCGGGGACACATGCGGGCGACACCATGTGGGCCTTGGGTGGAGCTCCCCATGGGGGCAAGGAATGTTTGAGGGGTGTGCCGAAATGGGTGGCGGGAACGCATGCGGGCGGCACCATTTGGGACTCGAATGGAGCTCCCTATGGGGCCACGAATCGTGTGATGGGGTGTGCCCACATAGGTTGCGGGGATGCTTTCGGGCGGCACCATTTGGGCATGGACCACGAAACGTGTGAGGGGTGTGCCGAAATGGTTGACTGGTGCGGAGGGCAGAGACAGGGATGGGAGGAGGGAGGAGAGAGAGGAGGAGAGAGGACAGACAGATAGACAGAGGCCGCCCCCGGACCGCGCAGTGGCAAACAATGCGGAAAAGCCGATCAAACACGCGCCGGCCTGCAAAACAAAAGCGCAAGACGGCACGGAGCCTCGGGAACCACCGTGGTATAGCCTCTGTTTCAAACGAGGGGCGAGGGAGGAGCGAGGAGGAGGTGGGACAACTCGGCCGTTCGATGGCAGCTCGTGGCCACCCGGCAACCCGGGAGCGCCATCGGCGCGGCGGGCACCCCGAGGCCCGAAGACCGCCGAGAATTAAGTCGGGCCTGTCCCCCTACAGGGGGATTTCGACGAAAAATTAAAAAAAAAAAAAAAAAAACAATTACTCCGACGGAAGAACCCCACATAAGAATCCTCTGGGCGAATCTGGAAAAAACCATCACCGTCGTCCTCGTGGTTGGTGAGGCGTCCTGGCTGTCTCTTCTGTGTATATTTCCTGTCGCCTTGGCGCGGGCCCCCCTTTCACTCCTTACGTTGTCCCCATCCTCGCCCCCCTGTTTGTTCCGCGCCCCGCCACCTCCTCCCCTTCCTGTTGCGTGAGCGCGCATGTCGATGTTCCTCGGCGCCGTCGCCGCCACGGCCAGCACAGGCGCGTTCTCTACTGGTCACGTCGCGCAGCCGTTGGGACAACCCCGCGGGCCAGGCTGTCGGGACAACCCCGCGAGCCGTTGGCGCGCAAGACCAAGCCGTTGGGACAACCCCGCGGGCTTCGAGCGAGGCGCAGCCGCGCTCAGGCGGAAGGCAGCACGAAGCCCAGCTCTGCCGCGAGCTGCTTCGCCTCCGCCCTGGACAAAACCGCCTGAGACTTCCTCCATATTCAGGCTTGAGGAGCCCAAAAGTGACGACAGTTACAGGGTTCCGATGACCCGCTCGGATTACCAACATGATCTGCGGGCCCCATAGGGAGGGAGCTCCCGCCTGAGACTTCCTCACAATTCACTCAGAGACGAGGCTCCCGCCTGAGACTTCCTCCAAATTCAGGCTTGACGAGCCCAAAATTGACGACAGTTTTCCGATGACCCGCTCGGATTACCAACATGATCTGCGGGCCCCATAGGGAGGGGGCTCCCGCCTGAGACTTCCTCACAATTCACTCAGAGACGAGGCTCCCGCCTGAGACTTCCTCCAAATTCAGGCTTGACGAGCCCAAAAGTGACGACAGTTACAGGTTCCGATGACCCGCTCGGATTACCAACATGATCTGCGGGCCCCATAGGGAGGGGGTTCCCGCCTAAGACTTCCTCAGAATTCACTCACAGACGAGGCTCCCGCCTGAGACTTCCTCCAAATTCAAGCTTGAGGAGCCCAAAAGTGACGACAGTTACAGGTTTCCGATGACCCGCTCGGATTACCAACATGATCTGCGGGCCCCATAGGGAGGGAGCTCCCGCCTGAGACTTCCTCCCAATTCACTCACAGACGAGGCTCCCGCCTGAGACTTTTCCATTTTCAGGCTTGACGAGCCCAAAAGTGACGACAGTTACAGGTTTCCGATGACCCGCTCGGATTACAAACATGATCTGCGGGCCCCATAGGGAGGGGGCTCCCGCCTGAGACTTCCTCACAATTTACTCAACGATGATGAGGATGAGGATGATGAGTGGTGGTGAAGATGAGTGGTGAAGAGGATGATGATTGATTGTGAGTGGTGGTGGCGATGATGATGTTTGCATGAGGATGATGCCGATGATGATGATGATGATGATGATGATGATGATGATGATGATGATGATGATCATGATGATGATGATGATGATGATGATGATGATGATGATGATGATGATGTTCGTGAGCGTGTGAGAGAGTGCGAGTGATGATGATGATGAGTATGTGAGTGACTAAGCATGTGAGAGAGCATCATCGATGATGCTGATGAGGTTGATGATGAGAGAGTGTGAGTGAGTGTGAGTGGGTGTGTGTTTGTGTTCCTGTTCCTGCGCGGGGTGTCCAGAGAAAACAAGAACCCCACTTTGGATGTGGGGAAAAATACCCCAAAAAGGTCAAAAAATACTGAAAAAATAGTCCCCAGACTATTTTTGGAGTATGTTTTGACAATTTCTGGAATATAAGAAATCCCCCTGTAGGAGGACAGGCCCGAAGACCGCCGAAAACCGACGAACCTTTGGCCCTCCGAGCTCTCCCGTGCCCCCTCGAGGGCGCGCCGCCGAGCAGGAGAGGGAAGGGGCCCTGGGACACACAAATACAAATACACACAAATCGCAGGATTCCCCATATTCTCTCATATATCTTCTGGGCTTTTGTCTTCCCCCCCACTGCCTATATTTTCCCATCTTTTCCTTGGAATCGACGATTCATTGTGTCTGTGTGTGTTTTTTGTTCCCTCCTGAAGGAGGGCCCCTCTGGGCGCGCCGCGGGCCGGGAGCGCCCGCCTGCCAGGGCCGCGGGGGCCGCGGGCCGAGGCGGGGCCAGGCGCGCGAGCCCGGCGGCGCCGCGGCGGCCTCGCCATCGTGGGCCCCGAGGGGCCGCGGCCCCGTCCCGGGGCCGGGGTCCCGCCCCGCGCAGTGCTCGGTCGTTCGGGGGGCCACATGCGAGCCCTCCCCCTCAGAAATCGTGGTGGGTAGGGGTAGGGTTCGCATGTGGCCCCCTAATCGTGCGCGCGCGTGCGAAAAGAGATGGAGAGCAGTGCGTGCGGGTGGCCCGGGACGCACAGGGGCACGGCCAGGGGGGCCTCCGACGGAGCTCCCCATGGGGCCACGGCCGCGCCGTGCTGGGTGGCCCGGGACGCACGTGGGCACGCCCACTGGGGCCTCCGGTGGAGCTCCCGACAGGGCCACGAAGCGTGTGAGGAGTGTGCCGACACGGTTGACTGATGCGAATGGCAGGGGCACGGAGAGGAGGAGGAAGGAGGGGGAGGAGGGAGGACGGAGGAGATGCGGGGCGCTGTCTCTGCAAAGCGAGGACCCAACACCACAGGAGGTCCGGGACAAAAACTGAGAGCAGTGGGTGTGAGTACCCTACTTTACTTTGGCTCTCAAATGGAGGTCGTGGGCGACGTGCGCCTCATTGGGCGGACGCTGCCGCGCTGCCGCCCTCCACTATCACTATCAGTGTGTACTCTGGGGACTCCTCCTCGACTCAGGGGGGCGCTGCGGCGCTGCCGCCCTCCATTATCGGGGTGTCCTCTGGGGAAACCAAAAAAAAGTACCGATACCGCTACGCCCCGGATCTCTCCCGCGGTGGCGACGAAGGAGGCACGAACAAGCGAAAACGAACCAAGGGCAGCGGCATCGGTACCTTTTCCCCCTCCGATCCTCGCCCTGCCCCTCCGCCACCAGCGCGCTGCGCGCCGTTGCAGGCGCAGCGCGCCGGCCGCGCCACGCCACCACCCCCGCCAGCGCCGCCGCGAGCGAGGCGACCGCTGCGGTTGCCACCGCCACAGGAGGGCCCGCCGCGGCCCCTGGCAGGGCCTCGGAGGGGACACGAAGGCATCGCTACCCTCTCGACCTCCACCGTCCGAACCGTCCGCGCAGGAGGTGCCGCCGCGGCGCGGCCGCGGCGACCGCCGAGGCCGCCGCTGCGACCTCGACGGCAGCCGTCGCTGCGGCCACGCTGGCGGCAAACGCTGCGCGGCATCTGCTGCCCAGACGGTCTGGGAGAGAGAGGTCGAGGGACCCTCATTGGGGATGCCAAAGGGTACCGCTGTCGCTGCTGCCCGGACCTCTCCCGGGGTGCGCTCTGACCTAACATTCGAGGAGAGTCCAACCGTGGCGACCAGGGGTCTTCGGGACGAGCGGCTCCAGCGCCAGCGGTATCGATACCTGTTCCCCTTCTGAGCCTCGGGCAGGGCATCGAGGCGAGCAGCAGCGGGCGCCTCGTTGGGCGGGAGCACGCACTGTGAGCATACCGCACAGCCCGCAATCGCCACCTTCATGGCCTGCGCGCAGAGACCGTCGGAGTCGGGCTTGTTGGATCCACTGTCGCCGTTCAGGCCGCTAACGGCATTAGAGATCCTCGTGAAACAGTCCTTGTTTTCCGGGCACCAGAGGGAGCTATCGTAATCGACATCATTGATACCAAGGCCTCACCAGAGGAACTAACAAGCGCCATGAGCATACAGCTTTGTGAGTTCCGCGCGGAGTTCTCGGATCTGCGCTGAACCCCCCCCGTGGGCGCGCTCCTCTGCGGCGCCGGAGGCGCCGCCAGGGTGGCCCAGCGCCGATCCACCAAATTGGCGCGGAGCTCCAAAGTTTATGACGATGCCGTTTGTTGTTACTCGGCTCCTCCCTCACCACAGTCGTCCTTGAACTCGCAGTCGCCAACCTTGACCGAGCTGGCGAGGCAGAGCAGGGCAGCGCCGGAGAGGACCTTCGAGGCGAGGAGGGCCATCGTGCTCGCGGCGGCGACCTGGTGGGGCCCGTCTGGGTGCAGCCGCGCCGCTCCGGGAGCATCGTCGAACCGGTCCCCATCCCCAGCGGAGCGGCCTGGGCCCCACTGGCCGATTTAACCCCCAAGATGGGGATGTAGGTCGGTCCCTTCGGGTTTCGAGGGGCGTATCCCCAACTGGGGTGGTAATTTGGCGGGAGTCTCGAAGGGGATGGGGATGGGGATGGGGATTGGTTCAACGATACCGACTCTGGTCGCCACAATCAGGTTCGCTTGAGCCAAAACTGCCGTGGAGCAGTACTGAGACAAGGTGGGCTGAGATCCAAGAAAAACGATCAGGCCAAGGGGTTTGCCGGCAAGCCGGATTGGAGAACGCTGGTGCTGCACCATGCTCGAAAACATTGCAATGTACCATATGCTGAACTCAATCGCATGGCACGCGCCATGTCGAAAACATCGCATAATACGCGCTAATCGGCGAATCGAACTGGGCTTATCGAGCCAGGCGTATCGAGCCGGGCGAATCGATACTCGGGCGAATCGAACCCACGCCATCTTGAGTCCTGGACCGCCTATAGTGCCCTTCTAAGGTGTCGAAGCTCGGTTGGGAGGCCGTCTTGAGCCTGTTCGGCCTCCGCTTGATCTGTCTTGGCGCGCGCTTGGGGTGCTTGGGTGTAATCTGGGGAGCGTCTTGGGCTCTGTTTTAGCGTGGGCCACCAGAACAGGCGACAACGGGGCAATGCTTCAGACTCTCCTCCTCCTCCTCCTCCTCCTCGGACTGGTCGGCGACAATGACGACCGTCTGACCGGTTGACCGGCTGACCGGCTGTTGGATCTCCAGGGCCGCTCAGGGTGTTCTGCGAGCGGCCTGGGAAACCCCGGTCATCCCATGCCCCCCCGTGGCCCAGGCCCTGGGCGCCAGGGCCTCGCGCACGCGGATATATCCATACCTTAATATAGATATATGTATATATGGTGCAATCTAGGTCGTGCAATCTACATGGTCCGTTCCAAGAAGTACTACCCAGGATGTGAAATGTATGTGGTGAGATCTGTGTGACGGGATGGGTGTTGTTCAGTATGTCTTGTGAAGTATATGTGTGGTGAAAGCGATGTGGTGCACGATACGTTGTGCAAGTCATGCGTGAAAGCTGTGCGATGCGACCTGTGCTGTGCAATCTACGTTGTGCAATTTATCTTGTGCAACGCATGTCGTGAAATCTATGTGGTACAATCGATCTACTGATGCCATATGTTCAGCAACCTATGTGGTGCAACCCATGTGGCGCACACTATGAAGTGCAACCGGTGTGGTGCATACTTATGTGGTGCATCCGTTGTCGTGCCATCTATGTCGTGCAAACAATTGGAACAATCTCTGTGATGCTATCTACGTGGTGCAATCTACGTGGTGCAATTGACTACCCTGCACCGCGCTTGACCACTCCACTGCTCGCGCAAACATCCCACCCACCCACCCGCAACTTGTTTCGCACAATCTCTTAAGACCGTGACGGTGGGTACCAAATGGCACTTGCCAACGACAGCGACGCCGACGACTACAGCGACAACGACGACGACGACGCCGCCGACAACGACTACGACGACACCGACGACGTCTCCAACGACTTCGACGACGCCGACAACGACGACGACGACGACGACGACGCCGACACCGACGACGACGACGACGCCGACGCCGACGACGACGACGACGATGACAACGACGACGACGATGACGACGACGACGACGACGACGACACGACGACGACGACCAACGACGCCGACGACGACGACGACGACGACGACGACGACGACGACGACGCCGACAACGACGACGAAGACGACGACGACGACGCGACGCCGACGACGACGACGAAGACGACGACGACGTCGCCAACGAAGACGACGACGAGGGAGAAGGGAGGACGACGACGGCGACAACGGCGAAACGACGACAACGACGAGGGAGGAGGGAGGACGGCGACGACGCGAACGACGAAGGAGGAAGGACGGCGACGCCGACGACGGCAACGACGAGGGAGGAGGGAAGACGACGACGACGACACGACGACGACGACGACGACGACGAAATAGGAGGGACGACGACGAGACGCCGACGACGGACGACGACGACGACGAGGGAGGAGGAGGAGGAAGGACGACCACAGCGACAACGACGACGGAAACGACCACGACGCCAAAGAGGACGACGACGACGAACGCGAGGAAAGACAGAGGACGACGTAGGCGACGACGACGACGACAACGACGGGGGCGGAGGGAGGACGGCGACGACGACGACGACGACGCAAGAGCGCGCGCGCACGCTTTTGTTGAAAATCCGTGTTGCGAAACCTTGGGTCTTTGTAGGTTTTTTGGACGCGCGATTTCGACATCCTTCCGAAACCTATGGGTTTTGAAGGATTTCGGCGTACGCGCGCGACCACGCGCGCGTCTGCCCTTCGTCCCTTTCTTTGCAGAGGATTCTCGCGACGACACACGCGCAAGGGCGTTCGACAGATTTCGACATGCGCGCGCGCGAAGCCCGTTTAAGAGCATTTTGTGAAAATCTTGAAAAACCCATGGTTTTCTCAAGATTTCGCAAGAGCTCGCGCGGAAGCTGTTTTAGCAAATCAGTGTTGCGAAACTCTGTGTTTTTGTATGTTTTTGAGAAACTCGATTGCGAAATCCTTCCAGCACCTAAGGTTTTTGAAGGATTTCGGCATGCGCGCGCGACGACGCGCGCGTGTGCACTTCGCCACATGTTTTGCAAAGGATTCGCGAAAAAGTGCGATGTTAGAACAACAAATGTCACCGCATAGGATTTTTTACAACGGAACCCTCGGGGGGGGAACCGGCCTGCCTGGGATGGTATGATTTCATATTTGGGATGGACGAGTGTGCATAATAAATATATATATATATATATAGACGACGGGCGGTGACGGGGCGGCAACGGCAACAAAAAAAACCGCAAGACCGACTGTCAGGCACGGACGGCAGGAGCCGACGAGGCTGCGACGGGGCGTCGACGGCGACAACATATTCGCCAAAGCGACGGTCAGGCCCAGACGACCAGCGGCGACGAGGCGGCGCCGGGGCGGCGACGGCGCCATCATATGGGGGGGCCGTTGGAGAAGGAACCCTTCGGTAAGGAATCCAGGGTCTAGAAGCCAGTGGACAGCCAGTCGTGGACTGGCCATGAAAATCACCGCCGCCCGCCTCAGAGAAGGAACCCTTCAGGGTCTGCAGCCTCCTGGGCACGTTCCTTGGCAAACGCCCCCACTGCATTCGCCGAGCCCGCGGCCCGGCCCGCGGCCGCGGGGACACGGCGACAGCGCAGCCGCAGGGCCAACGGTCGGGCTCTCACTTTTTTCCCGTAGAGAGCGAGGCAAAGAAGCCCTAAATGCAAGCACTACTTGAAGGAATGCACACGGTGGGGACAGTGGACCAGGAACCCTTAGATAAGGAATCCAGGGTCTGGAAGACAGTGGACATCCAATCGTGGATCGGCCATGGATATCGCCGCCGCCCTCATTGGGTAAGGAACCCTCCAAAGTCTGGCGCCTCCCGGGACTATTCCTTACAAAACGCCTCCACCGTAGATGTCTGTGTGTACACACGGGAACCACGCGTGCACTTCGCGCGCTGAGGCTGTCGCCAAGCACGTGGACAGGGTTTGTTGGGTGAAAGGTCGAGTAAAGGACGAAAGCTGACGGAGAACGGTGGTGGCAAAAGCAAGCAAAACAGATGGAGGGCAAGAGAAATTGAGAGAGAGAGAGAGAGAGGAGACAGGAGCGAGGGTGCACGAAAAGGGGGAGGAGGGGTAGGAAGCACTACACCTCCTTGTAGTTTCGCTTGGGGCATGCTGTGGTCTGTCAAAAGCATCTGGAGGGACTCTTTAGGTCTCCTGGTGGCGAGCTATTAGTCTCTTTCTTGGGGGGTTCGTCGGGTGTCCAGCCCTTGGAAGCTTTTTGGCCTTCTGGGACTGTCGGGAACCTCTTGGGGGCGTCTTGGCCCCCCCTTCTTGAGCGCATGTTCGGGGATGTTTGGAAGCTCCATCGGAGTCCCTGGGCTTTGCCTAGAGGAGCAGAACAACTGCATATCCATCGGTCGAAAGAGGTAGGTAGAAGCATGATGTAGGAAAGCGTTGCAAGTAGCTTGGGCTCCCTCCGCCCGCTAAGGAGAACAGAACAGGTGAAGCCACTCCATCATTGAAGTAGGAAGGCGCTTAAAGTACACGTCGTTCACTTCTAATCGTGCTCACTTCTAAGTGTGCGCGTTTCTAACTGCTCCCGGCGCCCTAGTGGCCGGGAAGAGGCCCAGGACAGAAACATTGGAAATGGAAGGATCTTGCCCCCCCCCCCCGAAAAAAAAAATCACGGAACTGCACAGTGTGTAGATTGGACTATGGGGATCCGACGCCCACCCACTTCTGGCCATCGCTCGGACGCCCATCCCCTGTGTTTTTGTTCGGTTTTTCGTGCGTGGCTTCTTTCGCCAAATGCTCAAGGGTGCTCCTCGATGGCCCTCGCCGAGAGAAACAAAAAGCACACGCCCGAGCGCTGCCGAGCACTCTCCACGACCGCTGGGCAGTCCTCTGCTCTCCGAGGCCCGCGCGGGGGCCTCTCCGGCCACCGACAGCGCGCAGCACCACCGGGCGCCGCGCGCCGATGGGGGCGCCGCCCGAGAGATGCTCGATCCGAGACCTCCGCGCGGACCTCAGAGAGACTACAGCCGGCCCGGATCAGCAATGCGGGATGACGATCAAGTAACAAATGGGGGAGAACGACAAAAAATAGTTTCCTGCTAATTCTGCACAAATTTCTGACTGGAGGAGAACGACTAAAAACATGGTATTCCAGCCCGCGGCCGATTTTTTCTAATCGTCATCCCGGGCGCCGCCGCATAAACACGACCCCCGGTCATTTAGGTCGACCCTGCCAAACCAAGGGTACCATTGTGTCCCGTGTCTCGCGGCCCGTGCCTCCTGCAGTCCTACGGCAGTGTGTGGCCCTCGGAAGGGTATCTTGTCCTCTCGCGTGTCCTGTCCAATCGAGTCCGACTGTACGTTTATCCAGATTCTGGCAGGGGCCGACCGCGAAATCGTTTGAGACAAAACGAAGAACAAGACGATGGCCAACACCTGACTAGACGCCGTTGCGGTCGGTCCTGGGATGCTTGTCACTCGATCGCTGCCATCTCCCAGGCGCGCCGGGTCTGTCGGGGCCGTCCGTTGAGGAGCGACAAGAAGAAACGCCCCTACCCTGGCTTTTAAGTACAGTCGGGGCGTTGACCTAAGGAACCCTAAATTCGCCGGCCCAACGGGCCAGAGGCGTGCTAAGATCTCCGGTAACTTGTTAACAATATTTCTAGTTCGCGCGCGCGGAGCGGCCCCTGGGGGCCCCCGGACGAAAAGTACCCCGGCAAGGTCCCGAGAGAAGCCCGGGAGAAGCCACCAGACCACTCCAGGGGAGGGTATTTTTCGACACCCCTCACGAGGATCGTGGCCTCCGAGGGGGGAGCCGCAATCGACTACCCCCAAGAGCCCCCCAAGAGGCCCTGGGGGCCTCCAAAACGCCGCCAAGGAGCCCCAAGAGACTCCCAAGAGGTCCCCAAGAGGCCCTCAAGAGGCCCTAAAGAGGGCTCCAGGGCCGGCGGCATGAGCGAAGCGATTAAATAAGGAACGAGGCCCCTGTTTCCCTTAACTTAAACTTCGATTCCCCATGGAAAACCAAAGGAACATCCAGGGCAAACTGTAAAACAATCAAGGAACACCGAGCTCCTCCCCAACGAAAACGGTTCCTTAGTCAGCGCCCCGACTGTACGTGGCCTGGAAGCCTCCTGGGAGCGCCGCAGGGCCGGAGAGCTGCCAGGACGCTGCGCGACGCGCGCGACGCGCAGGGTGTGCCCCGGCAGCCCCCAGGAGGCTCTCCGCGCACAACGCTTCGTGATCCCGGGCTGGGGCGCTCCTCCTCCTCCTCCCTCCTCCCTCCCTCCTCTCCTCCTCCTCCTCCTCCTCCTCCTCCTCCTCCTCCCCCTCCTCCTCCTCCCTCCTCCCTCCTCCTCCTGCCTCCTCCTCCTCCTCCTCCTCCTCCCCTCCTCCTCCTCCTCTCTCCTCCCTCCTCCTCCTCCTCCTCCTCCTCCCCTCCTCCTCCTCCTCCTCCTCCCTCCCTCCTCCCTCCCGCCTCCTCCCTCCTCCTCCCTCCTCCTCCTCCTCCCCTCCCTCCTCCTCCTCCTCCTCCTCCTCCTCCTCTCCTCCTCCTCCTCTTCCTTTTCCTCCTCCTCTTCCTTTTCCTCCTCCTCCTCCTCCTCCTCCTCCTCCTCGGGGCTTGGATTGTGTGGCTCCCATCGCACCTGAGGACCACATCCCAGAAGTCTTTCCGAGCACGGTGTCGAGCGAGTGTCGCCTCCAGGGGCCCGACGCGCGAGATCCATGCAGTTTCGGTGCATGTCTGGTGCTCAGAAGAATTTCTGGTGATCAAGGCTAAAGGTAGGTGGGAACATCATTCAGTCGGACTCGATTGGACAGGACACGCGAGAGGACAATAGACCCTTCCGAGGGCCACACTGCCACAGGAATGTAGGAAGCATGGATCGCGAGACACAGGACACAAGGGTACCCTTGATTTGGCAGGGTCGACCTACTAATCCGGACCGACTGTAAGTCTTGGAGCCTGTCGGGCCTCCTCTGGGGTCCCTCTCGCGAGCTCTCTCATGGGCCCGCCGCGCAGGCGTCCCGGGGCAATCTCGTGGCGGGCTCGTGGCGCCGTCGCATGGACGCCCCTCGACGGGAAGCGCGGAGGGGGGGGGCGATGGAGACGCTGCAAGAGAGAGCAGGGGGCGCTTTGTGCTGCTTGCCTCGTCGAAAGAGGAGGGGGGAGGGGGGCGGAGGTGGAGTGGGAGGGAGGAGGGAGGAGGAGGAGGAGGAGGAGGAGGAGGAGGAGGAGGAGGAGGAAGGAGAGGAGGAGGAAGGAGGAGAAGGAGAGGAGGAGGAGGGAGGAGGAGGAGGAGGAGGGAGGAGGAGGAGGAGGAGGAGGAGGAGGAGGAGGAGGAGGAGGAGGAGGAGGAGGAGGAGGAGGAGGAGGAGGAGGAGGAGGAGGAGGAGGAGAGAAGGAGGAGGAGGAGAGGAGGAGGAGGAGGAGGAGGAGGAGGGAGGAGGAGAGGAGGAGGACGGGGAGGAGGAGGAGGAGGAGGAGGAGGAGGAGGAGGACAAGGAGAAGGAGGAGGAGGAGGAGAAGGAGGGAGGTCCTTGGCGAGGTGGGTCGGCGACCTTGGAGCCCTCTCGGAGACGCAGGGGGCAGTCGCTGCCCTCATGGGAGCGTCCTGGGGTCCGCCGCGGCTGCTGACAGCCTCATGGGGGCTCTCGTGGGCCCCCTCTTGGCTCTCGGGGGGCCCTTCTGCAGCTCTCGTGGCCTCGCCAGGGAGCTTCGCGGGGCTCCTTTGGGGCCGCCCTGGGGCGGTCTCGGAGGCATCCCGGGCCGTCGCGGACGCCCTGAACGAGGGGGGCGGGAGGCCTAAGACCCTCCTCGAAGTCAGGCGCAAGCTTTTCGTGCTGGTCAACGCGCGAGATGCTGCTCACGGGGCCAGAGTTGTTGTTTGCAGTCACCACTTCCGCCGCGAGCGCTGACATTTTGGCGCCTTGGGCGCCGCCACGTCGCGGGAAAACCTTGCGTTTGTTTTCGAGGAGGGATGTGAAGGCCCTCAGACCACGCGTAGGTCGGGCCTGTCCCCCTACAGGGGGATTTTGGGCGAAAATTGAAAAATACCTCCAAATGGCCAAAAAATAATGAGAAGATCGTCCCCAGACTATTTTTTGACTATTGGGGAGTATCCCCCCTGTAGAGTAACAAGCCCGACTTAAATGTTGCCTGTCGGGGGGGGGGGCCTCTGAAGGAACATGCTCTCGGGGCTCCCGGGGGGCTTCCGGCGAGCGCACCGGGCCCTCGAGGGAGCCCTCGCGGAGGCCGCGCTGGAGCGCCTCGCCGTCTCGAGCCGGCCTGGAGCGATCCAATGGCGCCCCTCCTCCTCCTCCTCCTCCTCTCCTCCCTCCTCTCCTCCTCCTGCTCCTCCACCTCCTCCTCCTCCTCCTCCTCCTCCTCCTCCTCCTCCTCCTCCTCCTCTCGCGCTGCGCGAGCGTGAAGAAAATCGCGCTCTCGAGAAAAGCAGGATAATGAAGAGTCGGCGCCGAAGCGCGAAGCGCGAACAAACTTCGCGCCCTAGAGGGCGCCCTTGGCAGTCCCATCGGCCTCCTGGGCCGTCCTGGACGCCCTCAGGGTTGAAAGAGCGGGAGAGCTAAACTCATTCAACAACACCTGGAACATCAACGAACCTCGCCTGTCGGCGGCCTCCAGAGCGTCGCGGGGCTCTCTCGAAGCTTCTGGGGGCCTTGTCGACGCTCGATGAGGCTATATTGAGCGTCTGTGGTCTCCCGCAGTCCTCCCCACGACGGTCGCAGACGCGCCTTCCCGGGGCCCACACCTCACCCAGAGAGCCACGGTTTCTAAGTGGGGATGTGAGGGCCCAGCGCGGATGCCCTGGGCCAGGTTCCCAGGGGATACACACGCACACGCATACACACACACACACACACACACACACACACACACACACACACACACACACACACACACACACACACACACACACACACACACACACACACGCACACACACAAACACATACACCGACACACACACACACACACGCACACGCACAAGCACACGCACACGCACACACCTACACACACACACACCTACGCACACTCTCGCACGCAAACAACACGTACACGCACACGCACACACAGGCAGACACACACGAACTCCGACACACACACACACACACTCACTCACCGCACACACACAGACACAGACATAGACACAGACACAGACACCGACACAGACACCGACACCGACACACACAAACACACACACACGCACCTACACATACAAACACACACACACGCACACACACGCACACCACCTACACACACCTACACGCACCTACACGCACCTGCACACACACACACACACCTGCACACACACACACACCTGCACACACACCTGCACACCTGCACACACACACACACACACACTCACACACACAAGAACACCGCTCAAGTTCTAGCTAGGCTCGGTGGTCAAAGTCTCGGGGATCTCAATGTTATTCCCAACTAACTATCCTGTGGTGTTGGGTCTTCGTTTTGAAGAGACAGCGCCCAGCGTTCCTCTCCTCTCCTCTCCTCTCCACTCCTCTCCACTCCTCTCCTCTCCTCTCCTCCTCCTTCCCCTCCTCCTCCTCCTCCTCCTCCTCCTCCTCCTCGTCCTCCATTTCTCCTGCTCCCTCCGCCCATCCCTGCCTCTGCCCTCCACATGTCTTCGTCGTTGCCCCCCCCCACCCAGCACATCGTTTCATGGCCCCATGGGGAGCTCCACCTAAGGCCCCAGTGGCGGTGTCCACATGCGTCTCCCCTATCCAGCACAGCGCTGCGTGGCCCCGTAGGGAGCTCCAATTAAGACTCCAGTGGCGGTGTCCACATGCGTCTCCCCGCCTAGCACAGCGCTGCGTGGCCCTATGGGGAGCTCCACTTAAGGCCCCGGTGGCGAAGTCCACATGCATCTCCCCAACCCAGCACAGCGCTTCGTGGCCCGGTAGGGAGCTCCAATTAAGACCCCAGTGGCGGTGTCCACATGCGTCTCCCCCGCCTAGCACAGCGCTTCGTGGCCCCATAGGGGGGCTCCACCTTAGGCCCCGGTGGCGGTGTCCACATGCGTCTCCCCCACCCAGCACAGCGCTGCGTGGCCCCGTAGGGAGCTCCAATGAAGACCCCAGTGGCGGTGCCCACATGCGTCTCCCCCGCCTAGCACAGCGCTGCGTGGCCCTATGGGGAGCTCCACTTAAGGCCCCAGTGGTGGTGTCCACATGTGTCTCCCCTGCCCAGACAGCGCTTCGTGGCCTCATAGGGAGCTCCACCTTAGGCCCCAGTGGCGGTGCCCACATGCGTCTCCCCCACCCAGCACAGCGCTTCGTGGCTCCATGGGGAGCTCCACTTAAGGCCCCAGTGGTGGTGTCCACATGTGTCTTCCCTGCCCAGACAGCGCTTCGTGGCCTCATAGGGAGCTCCATCTTAGGCCCCAGTGGCGGTGCCCACATGCGTCTCCCCCACCCAGCACAGATTCTCGTGGCCCCATACGGAGCTCCACCCAAGGCCCTAACGGCGGTGCCGACACGCGGCTGCAATCGTCTTGGGCGCGCCCACGTCCTGGCTTACGTGTGAATGTTCCCGTTAGGGGGCCGCCACCAGATTTCAGCAAAGTCTCGCACCGACAGGCGAGGCCAGAGCCAAAGCTCCAGCAGCGCCCGCCCTGGGTCCTGGAGGATGGGGCGCTTCCCGTGCCCCCCTTTCCCCCCGGGAAGCAACAATATACCCGTACTGCCACTCCACGGACCTGTCCTGGGCCGCCTTCTGACCAAGATTCAGATGCGAATGCAACTGTGACGAAGAGGACAGGGTATCAGAATCGGTATCTTTCCCTCTCCTGAACCCCCGGTGCCCAAAGACCGCCAGACGACGCTCGAATACCCACGACCCCCCTGGGAGGTCCGTCGTAGTCCGAAGAGCGCTTCGTGCCCTGCATGGCCGTCTCCGAGGTCGGGTCCACGCTGGGAAGGGCTGCCTGGGGTGCCGGTGAGGGGGGAGAAGGGACGGGAGCAAAAGGATGAGGACAAGGGAGAAGGAGGAGGGGAGGGAGGGGGAGAAGGAGAGGGAGTAGGGGGGGAGAAGGAATAGGGAGGAGCACATGGCTGAGGATGACGATGAGGAGGAGTAGTGGGAGAGGAAAGAGGCATACAAAAGGCGGAGGACAAGAGGGGAGGAGGGGGAGAAGGAGGAGAAGGGGAGGGGGAGGGAGGAGGAGGAGGAGGAGGAGGAGGAGGAGGAGGAAGAGGAGGAGGAGCAGGTCACTTGGGCGGCTGTGTCTGTTTCTGCCTTCTGCCGCGGGGGGGGCGCCTCGGGCAGGGACGGAGATCGCATGGCTCCTTTGCGGCTGGCTCCCTTGGCGACGGCGGGCGACGGACGGCGGCTGGCTTCTGACGCCGCCTGGGTCGCCCAACATCGGAGGATCTGCCCCCTCCCCCCTGTCAGGGGGGCCTCCCTCCCGCCCTCCTTCCAGATCCTGCGATGAGGGGGCGCGGGGGGGCGGACGGGGGAGGGAGGAGGAGGAGGAGGAGGAGGAGGAGGAGGAGGAGGAGGAGGAAGAGGAGGAGGAGGAGGAGGAGGAGGAGAAGGCGAAGAAGGAGGTGGAGGTGGAGGAGGAGGCTGGAGGAGGGATGAAGATGAAGAGGAAGATGACGATGAACATGATGATGTTGATGGTGATGATGCTGCTGATGATGATGGTGATGATGGTAATGATGTTGATGCTGATGATGCTGCTGCTGATGGTGATGATGGTGATGATGATCCTGCTGCTGATGATGCTGATTATGATGAGCAGGAACAGGATGAGGGGGAGCGAGCGAGGCAGGAGGATGAGGAGGAGCAGGGCTTTGGGCGGTTTTGTCTGTTTCTGCATCCCCTCCCACGGGGAGCCAGAATGAACC